TACAAAATCACGTGCAGGGTAACTGAAATTAATAAAACAAAAAACCTCCTCTTTGTATCAGTATCACTAATTCCATACCTACCTTTCTAGGTACTAGTAGCATCAATTGTGGCTGCAGCACAAATCAATTAAGAGTGTACTGATTTAAGCCAAGCCAAAGCGGATCTTAATTAAATGGACAATAAAGCAAAGGGAAAGGGTAGCCTAAAAATCAGAAGGGAAAAAAAAAACAAAACAACCCTTCAACAGTCAGAGAAACAGAGGAAGAGTAGCAGCGCAATGCTTGATGCACCATCCTATCAAATATTCAAGTATACAAAACCCAGTTCTTCTCACTGTAGAGTTTTCTTGCTTTGTTTCCTCTCTACAAGCTTTTGGTGCAAAAAGGGCACATAAATATGTTACTAGAAACATTTGCTTGAAGGTTTTAACTCTGTATGTGCAGCTTATTCATGATTTAAGAGTTCAGGATCTGATCCAGATCTTGCTGTGAAAGACTCCCACTGATTCAATCCATTTTAGATAAGGCCCCAGGATGATTAAGAACTACTTTAGTTTTTCTGCAAAATGGATACTGTAGACACTGCTAATCTCAGAACTGTACCTTCCAGCCAGGAATAATATCTCACACAACAAATGAACTATCACAGCTCTATTCAAAGTTACAAACTATAACCACAAGGCATACTCTCCAAGATATAGAAAAATAATCTAATCAATAATTAACGGTCCCACATTCACTACTAGGGTAATAAAACTTGATTTGATCTACTATTACCCTGCTAATGTTTAATTTTTCCAAAAGACATGTTTTATAACTTTTTTCCAATTATATATGTTTAACAACATTTAGATATGTGCACAGAACAGTCCATTATATCTTAAATCAGTATAGTAACTTACAAAAAGTCATATGAAAATAAACAACTTAAACCTTCATCAATATAGTATCCACTAGGCCACGCAAATTACTGACCTCCTCTATAACACTAAGTATTAATGATCAAAGACTAAACCTAGATTGTCTCATCTATCCATCATCAAAATAATGCTAAAATTTAAAATAAACACATTAATTTTGTTCAGTCCTTGCTGCTGCTTCTACTATCCAAGTTCTTCATTTGGATCCACAAAAGGACGACTCTGTTCAAAACAACAACTCCTCCTCAAAACACCACGTTTTGTTCTTTATACTGACTTCCCAACCGTTTAAGACAAAAGCTGTCTTGGCAAAACAAATCTAAATCTTTTCAGAAATCTCCAGTGTCTTCCAAGGGCTGCAGATTCTATTGCTTAGGAAAAGAGACTTAATATTGTATTTCAAAGATAGTGCATATGTTCTTCAGCAACATGAATGCATGACTCACTAGTGCTCTTCAATATGCTGAAATAAGAGAAGAGATATGGAAATGGCTGAATTCAGTATAATCAAAGATGCTGAGTGTATTAGACAAAAATCTCTAGTGTCAGAAAGAGTCACTTTGTTAAAGGTGCAGAGACATTCATTGCAAAACATAATATATGCAAGAACTAGTAGGTTTACACCAAAAAGGAAGAAGTGGAAACCATAAAAATTATCATTCTAATCTTTCTATGGACTTTCTGCCATATTCTTAAACTAACACTGATACTTCATGAAATTTAAGTAATTATCATAAGAATTATCTACTTGATGTCAAGTCACTCCAAATGCAAAGAATGTTCTTTTCCACAACATCTATCACGTTAACATCATTTAATAGATGCAAATGTAAGCAGGAAATGGAGAAAGATAATATGGTATACAAGACTGAGTTTAGGTGTGAACGTGGTGAAGTTCTGTATCTGCCACTGTTCTACTGATCACTGTTTCTGCTGAAATGGTTAACCAGTGTTTCCCTCTTCCAGGTTTGCAGCAGACCATTCAAGAATCAGCACAGAGAAAATCCTCACTTAAGATTCTCAGGTGTTCCTTCCAAACTTCCCTTCTCTGGCTATGTTGCTCAAAGTTTTGGCAGCCTGCCAGGGTAACAACTTTTGTGTTCTTGTGAGCCAAGTCCACTACATTGCCAAAGCCACAGCAGGAAAGTCTGCATGTGGAAAGATTTTTAGTGCTGATAGAACTGGTGGTAAGGAAGTTAAACTAAATCAGGTGCCTCCTCACAGCCCAATCCTACCTACTGAGAGAGCAAAAAGATTAGAGTGTTCCATCCATACTTCTGGGACACCACATGGGACAACATGACTTTACTTTTCAGAGAGGACAACAAAGAGAATTTGGGGCTAGAACACCTCTGTCTGAACATCACTGACAGCCCAGGACACCCTCAGCTCTCAAGCAAAGCCTGGGACTCAGAAACTCACTGCTATGCTTCCAGTGGGCAAAACTGAAAGGTTCTTTAGCTTCAAACCCTGCCGGTGGTGGGAGACTGCTACCCAAGGTCTGCATGGTAAGCTGAGCTTTTACTTTCAAGGAAGAGAAAGGAAAATGCTTAAAAGGCACCAGTGTTAAAATAATATTTACATTACAGAGTAAAGTCACTGAAAGTTGAGAAATGTAAACTTTGGAAGTGTTTGAGTAGCTGTTGTTTAAGCAAACTCATTTCTGCCCTTTTTTTTTTTTTAAGAATGATTTCAGACAACATATGCAATTACATGATCACATGATATTCTTTCTACAAGACCTTTTGCTCATTCAGTGATCAGTAAAAGTTGCATGGACAGCCACGCAGTGTGTATAGTATACAGATGTCAATTTCTTCACAAACTACAAAAATACACCCCAAAAAGTCAATAATTTATCTAAAATTAAAATAATTTAAATTTTTAGACACACCATTTTTAAAGATAAGTTTTAAATTTTCAGATATTTCTACTTCTGAACTGACCAATTAACACAGATGTCAAGCTGTTAGAAACTTCCTGATGAGAAGAAAAACTGAATTAGGTGTAAATCTATGGTACTGAAAGTTAAATGCATTTGGATATTAGTATGAAATGGTTACCAAGAGACAGAGAATTTCTATAAATTATTATATTTTAATGTATTTGTTTTCTGATAACATTGAAACTTCTTACGTGAGAGTTTTTGGAGGTAGCACTCTTTACATACTGGTTTCCACAAATAAGAAATTGCTGTGGATGCCTGATTGCTTCCTTTGCATTATATCTATTTTGTTTACAAAGGGGCTTTTAATAATCCACTATTGCTCTCAAATAACCCTGTGCAAAGCATAAAATGGACACATTTTTGAAAACGGGTGAGTGAGTATTCAATAACTTAACCAAGATCACAATACTGGCAGGTTTTGAATAGTATGGTCGTGCCTTATCTTTCTGTTTAATTCATCAAGTCTCTAAATACACTACTAAAAAGGTGTCTGTGCACCTGGGTAGGGGTAATTATTAAATAACACTGTCAATTCTTACCTTATGTAAACATTCTGCAAATACAAAAACAATTTATGCTTTCAAAATGTTAAATAATAGATCCTCTGATTTTAAAGACAAAACCAAAAACTATACTTGTAGCACTCTATGGAGATAGAATATATTTTGCAACTTCTGTCTTCACGCTAATATTTGAAATGCAATTACAGAAGGCAACGTGTTGTTTTGACAGAGGAAATTAAAGATTCAAAACTACACTCTTTTTTTGAAAAAATGTTTCAAACTTCCCCTCGACAATTGAGCCCTGCCCCATTCCTAGATAAACACCAAACATTTTTGGAGTGAAGTAACTTCCTCATGATACCACAGCAGTATTTGCTTTCCCACTCCAAAAATCTAGAGATGCAGAAATAAAAGGAAGCCTTGGGTATGTAACATAGGTCATAATTACAAACTATTGTATTAGTACTGAATCCATCTCCCATTAAGAGCGGGAACATCCTTCAAAGATTATTTTATTGAAATGGCTGATTTGAAATTTTCATTATTTAACAAGTTAGGACATTGCAATAGCTAGGATGCATTAGCAGAGAATTTGCCTACAAAGTGTCAGTTTAATCTAAATCAGTTGACTGGCAACTCTAAAGAACAGCACTCTTTCAACAACTCAAGTTTGCCAACAACAACCTCTTAAACCGCTTCCAGCTACGCTGAAAGGACATGCAACTATATGTTAAATCTCGCTGCAAGTCAGCAGGATTTTAGCCTCCAAAATAATTCAGGCAGTTAAATGGGACTTTTACATCTTAAATACCTTCAGTTTTAGATAGCTGAGTAGCAATCGATACATTTTTTTCTGAAATAGAATTTGTATTCCAAACTTCGTTTCACAGTTAATAGCTTTACAAAGATTATTTCAAGGGCTTAGAAGGAAATAGCCTCAATATTAAACGTGACCACAAAAGAAAACTGAATGTAGTGAATGTTTTTAATGGTTTCTCTCTTCTTTCTTTTTTACCCCTGCATTTTTCATCTAGCTCAACAAGTGTGTATTAGTCTGAACGTTCACAACACCAAAATATCAAGCACTAAAACTCAAGAAAGATGCAAAATGTACAAAAACCCAAGCAGAATAAGTGAAAGTTAATTTGCATATGGCTCTGAAGTATGGTAAATGCCCATGGCAAATTTTAAATGCTAGCAAGAATTGTATACCTTAGACAACTAGAAACTGTTTGCTTCTGAAAATATTAATTTCATATATTCCAAATGATGAAAATGTAACTGCAGACAAATTCTAGAAAGCTCCAGGTTAAAAATCATCATAAGCAGCGTAGTTCTATTGGCTTCAATCAACTTAACTTTAAGCAAGAGGATAAACACAGAAGCAGACATATGCACACTTTGCTCAACTGGCAGTCCGGGTATCTCAAATTCTCTGTACTTCTCAAGTATGCAGCATTAAAATGAACCAGAAATTTGGGTGATATGTGGAAATAATGTTCAGTTCCAACATCTAGAAAAATCATCATTTTTTTTCCCATCTACACCTATCTAAAAAGAAAAAAAAACAACATTACTGAATCATTTCAGTACTGCTATAGCTTTATATTTTACAACACTATTTTTACCTTTCCAAGCATTCTTCCAAGAAAGTAGTAATGTCTGGCATAAGAGTCTCCAACAAGCATCTGTGCAGCAGGGTTGGGGTAAAGAAGTCCTTCATTGGTGGTCTTAAAAAATCCCTGGTTAGGGTTAAATCCTGATTTAAGTAGTTCATTCAGAAATTCTCTGAAAATTCCACCACCATCAATACCAGCTTCATCAAGACCATGTGCATTAAGTAAGTGAACACGAATGCGCTTTTTTAGGTCAGGTTCTGCAGAGAAAGGAGAGAGACAAACTCAAATAGAACTATCTGCTTGAATTTTGTTTGGATAAAAACACATGTAACTACACATACAAACATATCTACACCAATTTTATATAAAAATGGAACTAGTAAATAGTACTGTAGCAAAAATCTATTACTGGCTTGAATTTTGGAATATTCAGTATGTGAAACTCACTTTGTACAAAGGGTCTTGCTTTAAGACTCATCAAAAGATGGAGTGGAAAGACACTAGGTAGGGGAAGAAAAAAAATCCTACAAAATATTTTAAAGAGGCCCAAGAACAATCTGAAAATTCTATTTATATAAAGTATTATGAATGCAAGGTTCAACTTTCTTATGTCTGAAGGAACCGTCAATAAGCACTGCATCCCCTTAGAGGGGCTGACTGTTAAGCTACATCATTAGATAATATTATTTGAAATTGAACTTAATATTTTTGATACTTTGGACTTACTGCTATGCCACGTAATTCCAGTGAGCAAGATGCAGTAAAGATGGACATGTTCTGAAGGCAGGTGTTCTGCTTGTTTCATAGAATGCTGCTACTTGAGAAAGCAAGCAATATTTAGCCCTTGAACTATGTATACATAACAGGGAAGGAGGGCCTTTTTGCTCAATTCAGGGAAGGCTTCCAAGGATCTAACCAAATACACAGCTTTTATTTGAACCCTTGCACTGACTACACTTGTGTCCCAGCAAAGCAACCAGTAATAAGCCAGTAACAATATAACCTTCTACTGCTTCCATGTGCTACAAATGCACACACTATGGATGGACAGCTGATGTTCATGAAAGAATCTTCAGCACCTCGCAGCAACAGAATTTCTCCTGGACCACCAAGTCTTACTCACATTCTCTCATTAGCGAATGCCTCTACATCTACTAGTAACTTCCCAATTTCACACTCAGCTATTCTTAAAAATTACTTTCTAGTTCCTCATTCAAGTGAAACGTGCTCCCGCACAAAAATTCTGCTGGCTGGAAATACAGGATGGCCATTTTTAGCCACAGGCGCTGCAACAGGTCCACTATCTCACCACCATTCAAAGCAAGAAAATAGAACACAGTTACGCTGGCAAAAGAGTCTCAAGCATACAGACATACTTTGTCTGGAGACTCCTGAGATATTGAGCATTAACGTTAAAACTTTTATATATGGAAAATGTTGGTTTAGTGCTTTTTGGGGCCTGACAAAGAAAATCAGTTATTGGTCTCTTCCTCTGTGTACTGACAATCAGATTTTACAGCAAGGAGGGAAAAATGGTCCTAAAACAAATTCACATGTCAAAATAGGTGACCAGGCAGAGGTGGAGCAAGTTAGCACAACCTCTGAAAAGAAGTTCCATTTTATAACTCATACAGCTTCTAGCTGTAACTAAACTGTTACTGGAGTCCACTGGAGACTATTATGGGATATTCTGAAAATTCCAGTCACAGAGAAAAAAAATTGAGAAATATGAGAAATGCTTGCACATTATTAAGCATATGATAACCAAATAAAAACATAAACCCGTAAGAACCAACCTAGTACATTTTTGCTATTCCAAGCTTGTTTTCTTAATGATCTCAGTTAAGGTACTACGGAAACATTAACTTTGAACAGCTCTTTTCTCAGGGCCAGTAGACAAACTGGATGCCTCTTCCAAATAAATGTTCTTCGCTCTCTCCCGATCAATTCTAGGACCTCATCTATCACCTGTTCAATCTCCCAGATCGATTTTAATCAATTCAGTCTACAGTCTTGAAATTGTGTCTCTTAATTTTCAGGAATTTCTTCTTTTCTGCTCTCTCACGTGGTGCCTGACCTACTCCAGAACTAAAATTATTTTAAAAAATTATACTGTCTCAGAATACCGGCTTTTTTAAAAAGGTCCAACCTTCTAATTTAGTCTTTATTGATGCTAAATAGCACTAGTACAGTACTAGATAGCATTGTGTATATATGTGCGTGTATACGTGCATATACATGGTGTATCACGCACACATGCAGAAAAACAGGTTTTCAGACTTCAATGGCCAACTACCACTATGGCTTCTCTATACCTGTAAAGGAGACATAAATCTTCACCTAGAGATTACTCTACTTCCAACTGCTTGCTACAAGCTTATTGGGTTCTCCCTTGTCACTGTTTTATGAGTAATTTTCTTCCGAAGGAAAGGCTGAAAACGTTATCTGGAACTATATACATGCATATGCAGATAAATTTTGTATTAATACAAAAGCTCTTTTTGCTGAACAGAAAGCTTGACAGAATCATAGAACAGTTCAAGTTGGAAGAGACCTCATATGGTCCAAAATCCCCACACTGAAAGCACGGCCAATTTCCAAGTTAGATCAGGATGCTCAGTGCCTTAGTCCATTTGAGTTCTCCAATGATGGAGATTTCACAGCCTCTCTGGACAGCCCATTTCAGTGCTTAACAAGTCTCACTGTGAAATGCTTTTTCCATATATGACCAGTAAAAATTTCCCTTGCTGCTACATGTCACCACTGCACCTTATCAAAACAGCTTCTGTAACGTCCCAGTTGCAGCAGCAACAATTTCCCTTTAGCCTTTTCTGTTTTGAGACTGAACAAACCCAGTTCTCTCAGCTTCTTCTCATATGCCATGTGCTTCAGTCCCCTGTATCATCTTAGTGGCCTTCTGCAGGACACATTCTTGTATGTTAATGTCTTTTTTTGTACTGGGATGCCCAAAGCTGGGCAGTGCTGGTATGTTCTTCCTAATACAGCCCAGTATGCAGCTAGTTTTCATCTCATCAAGGGAAACTCTTTATTTGTTCTATTTGTTGTCCACTATGAACCCCGCAGTCCTTTACTGAAAACAGCTTTCCAGCCGGTCAGTGCTCAGTCTGTACTGCTACATGGGGTTATTACAGCCCAGGCACAGGATTTTGCTTTGGTCTTTCCTAAACTTCATGAGGCTTCTGTAAGCTCTCTTCTTCAGTCTGTTCAGGGCCATCTCAGCGGCAACCTGACTTTGCAGTATATTGACTATTCCCCTCAATTTCATATTGCCTGTGACCTCACTAAAGGTGGAACACATCCCAGTACCCAGATTGTCAGACTGTAGATTAAGTTTAGGAAACATGCATTCTAAAGCTGCTTTCGTAGTTTAAGAAAACTACATTAAGTCAAAATGTAGTCTTCACAGAAAGTGTGTTTCTCATTTAAAGCTATCTTCTTATTAAACAAATAGGTTGACTTGCCTGTTACTTGACATTGCATTATTCAAAAGCTTAGACTGCAGTTTCTGAATTGTACTTTCATACATTTGGGGGAGAAGGAGGAGTAACACAACAGACTCAACTTCTTCTATTTTCCAATTCCAGTTCATCTTTCTCTTTTTAAGAAACCAGTTAATGACTCATACTAAACTTAGTATAATAAGACTATTCACAACCACTAGGAAAGAGGCTAAACAGTCAATTGCACATATAATTTCTAGATGATTATACAGTGACATCTCCTGATGAACCTTTAAAACTTTCCAAAAACAGGAGAACTTAATTTGTACTTTAAAAAAAAAAATGTCTAAATGTGTATCTTTTAGGTAGTTAGTTTTAAACACAGGTGTTGAAATACAAAATTCTATTTATAAATAGAATAGTATCTTTAATACTACCAGAGTAAAGGAAATTAAGAAAAGGCATGATCTCCAGTAATTTTATACGAACCAAGAATATCAACACCTCTTCTTCTTCCTCTCTAAACTAGGCAGTTCTCCAGGAAGGAACTTACATGGCACAGCAGGTGAGATTCACATGGCAAACCTGAAGTGTTTGGCAAATATTCTTTTTATATGCAAAAATACCATATAACTAATAAGAACTTTATTTTGGCAGCCTTCATCTACATTGGAACTTTGGCTTCTAGAGCAGCTGCTCTCACACAAATTCACACCAAGATATGATTTAAATCAATGTGGTAAAATATATACTACTACATACTATCACTACGAAGTACACTGTATTATCCTTATCAGACAGACTGTACCTAGCAAATCCTGTGCAGTCTAGATATTTTTGTTGAAACCGATTACCAAAGCAGATAATATCTAATGAACTACATAGATAAATACACAAAGTACAGTTATTTGGACAGTAAATGAGAAGAAAAGCCCCATAAAAGTAGGTTTAAACTAAGGAAGGGTGGGTTAAATGGTCTTATTTAAGACTGCAATAATCAGAAACAATGTGGATGAGAATTACTTTACATAAAAATGAGGAAATTTAACTTTATACGGATCTTCAAATCTTAGAGCTGATATACTTTTAACATCCTACTCAAGTAAGCAAATATGTAACTACATGGTAAGAATAGTAAAGTGTTATAAACAAGCTGATGATAACTTAATTGTAAACCTACCATTTTCAGGAGAAAGTTTATCATAAGCATCTTCATAAATATAATTTCTTCTGATAGTGACATTAATTCCATCCAAAAATGGCCCATCTCCTTGCACTTCTTGTTTATCAGCATAGATCAGTCTCTGAAAAATCTGTTAAAATTAGTGAAAAGAGAAATCATGTCATTGTGCAGATCTAAATACTCAATGAGAGATGGTTATTCACTACTCTTACTGTCCTTTGAGTTGCTTCTGGGCACTCACTTTCAAGTGATTTGTCCTCTCTCTCATCGAGCTGCAGAAACATAATAGAGCCATGTCCCAGGGGAGGGAAGGAGAGGGGACAGACATGCAAAAAACTTTTTCATGCTAAGATATCATCCTCAATTCTTTCTACATAAAGAGGCACATCTACAGACATTGTGTTAGTGATTCCAGTTTCCTCTCCCTAACTTTCAGAGTTCTGAAATGCAAAGTATACAAAAACAAAGGGAAAAAGTCACGAGTATTTTGCACACACAGAGGCAATCCTCAATGCTAGTAAACAATTTTTTGTCATTTTTGTAACGCTTAGGAACATTTCCAGTAACAAGAAATTAGGTATCGGTACTCCTCTCAGGAGCAGCGAGCAAATAATTCAAAGCAAAATAGTGCATAGCACTGCCATATTAAACAAAGAACCAGAGCATCACACCAATTCAAGAAAATAATGCCAGCTGACGTACAAATTGAACTTCACATTGTCCCTTTGCAAGTCTTCACAACAGGAACCTGTTACAGTTCACCTGAAGAGTAACTGTAGCTGTGCTTCTATGCCGAGATACAGCATGGGAGGGGGTTGCCTAATGTATAATAATGCTCAATATACCCTCAATCCAGGGAGTGTCTGTTTACTATGTCCTCTCTTGCATCCTTCCCATATTCAATAAATAGTCTAGTACATTTTCCAAGGGATATAATCTCCCAATAATATCACAGACTGCTTTCTTAACTGAGAAGATTAAGTAAGAGTCTCCAGGGATGTTTAAAAACAACAAATTTACCATGAAAAAGGAAAATCTGACAACAGCAGACAAAGCTAGAGTAAGGTCTCAAATCTACTGTTTCTATGGACAACTGTAGCTAGTGGAGAAGATGCTTTCCAACCAGGAGGATTATAGCGTAGACAAAGCCAGATTATTCCCTAAGGTACACAGCAGGAAGACAAGAGAAAATAGTCATAAGCTGCAGAAAGAGAAATGCTGAATGGACATAAATTAAAAAAAAACATAATGAGAGTGATTAAGTATCAGAAGAGGTTACACGAAGAGTTTGTGAAATCTCCATTTCTGGAGACAGTCAAAACTCATCTGGACAAGTCCTTGAGCATCCTGATCCAACTCTGAAGCTATTCCTGCATGAGGAAGGATGTAGACTAGAGTACCTCCAGAGGTCCCTTCTTACCTAAATTTTTCTACAGTTCTATGACATCAAGACATACAGCCACAGACACCTTCTTTTTATGTACAGGGCATGAGAATATGCTCACCACCATTCTCTTTCCTCAAGCATGGCTGGATACGGTTTATTAACTATTGCTACACAACACTAGATGGAAAGAATTGCTTGGAGGTATATCTCATAGCAAAATTCTTCTTGATGCAGAGTCTGGACTCCTACATAATCCAACGTTCATGCATATGTTAGTCCTGAAAATAAGAACCCTAATGCATAACTGAAGCATTTGCAATTACTTCAGACTAACACATGGAAAAGCAAGCAATGCTGACTGACGTACACACCATAGAAATAACACCACCATAGGAAAGCTGACGAAACTATGGCTTAAGTAAGTGAGAACCAAGGCACTTGATACAAATTGGATTTATTACCTCCCACAGGTAAATATCAGATTGAAAGGTGCACATCAATGTGCCTTAAGGCTAAAGAAGATAACATCCCCCACGGTCAGAAGGCTGAGGAGCCTACCATGAAACTGGATTCAATTGCTTGTAAGAGTATCTAATATCTGGTAATTCAAGGCAAGTCTCATAAGGAAGTCAGAAAATGAAAGGACACATGGAACAACCCACACATGGAAACAGCACTGAGCTGTATCACCACATTAAATCACAGCGTAATAGATGCAACTGGAAGAAAGGAAGAAGGAAAAAAAATAAATAAATCACAAAAACCAGGTAAGGTTATCTTCTCCCCTTATTGCAAGTTGTTTTGCAGGGGCAGTGGGAGACTCCAAAAGGATGTTGACTCCCACTGTTACACAAAAAGGGCCATACTTTGTCCAAAAAGCCGTGTAAGAGGATCTCCTCTTTGAACTATAAAAGTTCAGTCTACAGCTTTATCCTTCTCTCCAAGCTCTCATCCAATTGTTATGATTTCAGTTTTTGTGATAAAACCAGACAAGGTTTTATGAATTCCAGAAACTTAAGATATGTGCATCTCAACATAGCTTTAAGAAGTCCAGAGGTTGTAGACAGTGACTAAATTGTGACATACAGACCCCTGCTCGAGGTCACTTCCAACTGTTCCCCTGTAATCCTGGTGCAATATTGCCATACAGTATTAAGATGTTCTGTTGGAACAACTGTTTCATAGAAGCCTGGAAAAGCCACTTCTTTTCTACCAAAGCTGTCACTGTCTTTTTTTGACAAATACTGATTTACCTTCCCCATGGAACTACTCTTCATTCCCTTGATGGTGTCTTGCAACTTAATGTTTCCAAGACATTTGAGGGAGCAGTTTTTAAGTAATTGATACTGTTGACAACAAAAGCAGTTCAGAAAAAGAATTATGGGTAACAGAATAATAGCTTTAAAAAAAAAATTATGCAAACTGAAATAGGTAATAGAACTAACAATTACATATTTAAAATCTAGAAAGCATTCAAAAGCAAGTCAAACAGTACAAGAATCTTGCGAGTTTTAAACTACATACTCTATTAAAATTCAGCTACTCAGCTATGAATGCAGAAATTTAATCTCTAGGCGTTATTTTCCAAAAATGGACATCCATCATCTCATTCTGAGTAAATCCACCCACTGCACAAAAGTCTCCAGTCTTGACCTTGCAATCTGTTTATTACAGATACACAACTAGTTAGTGCTCTGCTTACCACAAGAGGGTGCAATCATGCAGATCAATCATTGAATCAGGACTGCAGTTTATTATAAGCATACAACTGCTCTCATATATCTTGGAATACATGTTTTTAATTTTAATGCAATTATTATAAAGGGTAATATAACTAGTAAAAAAAGAGAAAAGTAAGTAACTTCAAATGTTCAGTTGCCACATGAGTACTGAAGAAAAACAGTATGGCCTGTCATATCCTTCTGCAGGGAAACGATCCAGTTTCTACTTAGCTAAGTGCTCTTTTTACACTTACTGAAAACAAAAAACTAAAAACCAATTGCCTATTAAATTAGAAATTAGGTACCTTTACTCTTTCTTCAAAAGGAACTACAAAAGGTAGCTCTGTCAGAATTGCAAGTTGTCGTTCTTCAGATACAGAAAGAGGTGCTGGTTCCAAACCCACTTAAAATAGAAAAAATAATTTTTAGAATTCTGAAAAAAATTTTTTTAAACAGTTTATTTTGTATCAAGTGACTCAATTTACTTTGTAAAAGAATAAATACATTAAAATAGCTTATTTACTAAACAGTCACAGCAAGCCTTACCTTTCTTTAAACATTAGTTTCTGCAGGCAAACTGAAATATAAGTAGTAAAAACACACTGAAAACAAAATGTGTATAAAAATAAGTGCTCCTGCATTTTTTATTTCATTCAGCAGAAAAAAGTTATTTTCTTATTATTGATATTTTAATTTTTCAATTCAGAAAAAATACATACAGAAGACAATTAAGAAGCTGTAAGTAATTAGAATTTTCATTGCAGGAATACACAATATTCCCACCCCAATGATCAAAATAGTTTGAAGGTATTGTGCTTTCAACTACAACATCTACTTTCAATCAAATCATTTTAGGCATAAAAACTAAGAACTAAACCAAATCTAATGAAACCAACAGAAAGATAACGTTTATTTCAATGGGTTTTCTCTCCCAACAGCAAGGTCACAGTAATCACATTAAATCCTAGTCACTGCAGAAACAGTGAAAAGAACATCAAGAAATTGTATAATGTGCTCAAGAAAAAAGATTAGAAAAGAATTCAAGAAGCCACAGCAACGGAGAGACTCAATCGCATGTAGTTCCCAAGCTACCATGCAGCTCCTTTGAACCTTCTTATTATACGCAGAGGACGTTTTTAGGAAAAAACTCAACTTCAGGTGATGCACAGTAGAAGTGACAATCCTGCTCTAACTGCATGGGAAGAAACTCAGCTGAGCACATATCTGACCGTAAATTAATTAAGTGCAGAAAAAAAAATGGTATTGCTCACTGACTAGACACTGTGGTTAAAGGTCCACCTAGCTTCAGTCTACAGAGGAAACAAAACCCACAACTCCTTAGTTGTTCCATTTTCATGTTTAATAACTCCTTTCTCAAAAAAGACTCCACAGTCTAGACTATTTATAGACCATATTACAAAATGGAAGTAAATGCTTCACATTACTACCCAGTCTGGAAGTTTATGATGACAGTTTCAAGTTTTTCCTTTGGCTCCTACCTGTGGTGACTAGCATTTTGCTGCCCTTCTGCAACTGGACATCAATTCAATGTTCTTTTTTTTTCTACTCTTCAAAGCATTTTAAGTAGGGATATTTTAAGCACCAATTTAACATGACGTGACCCAAAACATCACTATACTTGATGTATATTCATTTGGGTCAGGTTTCAACATTGCAAGCCTTTGGAATTTCTGATAAAATGCTTATCTGCGATTACCCTTAGTTTACTCAGTAAACATTTTTAATTAAAGTCAATGTATGCAGCCTATTAAGCTAAGGGTTAAAAGCATTTTAAATAAAAAGTGCATGTACAGCAAAGGTAAACTACTACATGACTTCGACAGTTCAATTATTCCAGCCAATTAGTTAATTTTATCTGCATTTCTCCATCACAGCTTCTTTCTTTAAAGAGAAATATGGGATGGAGTCATCAACACAGAGGGCATTTAGAGTCTGCCATTTAAGTAAATGAAAAAGCACAAATAAACATGACCATATGTGATTCAGCAGTACTTTCATGCTAATTGGCTTTAACCCATATGGAGTCAAGAGGGATTAAACAAGTCATGTGCACATTGTTACCGGCTTGTTTTCACACATTCATGTTAATGGCACTTTTTTCAGCCTGATTTTGTATGAAAACGAGGTTTACATGAACACACTGTGTCATCTTTCCTCACCGTCTTGCCTCCAACACACCTTTTGAGCTAACCAGCTGAATTTTAATTTTGACAGAGAATAGGAGATTCAAAAATACTAAGTTTTGTGAAAATTTTCAACTGGATAGAGAAGAGAAATTCCTTTAGTGACCTGATTACAGAAACAGCAAGGAGAGCTCAGTTATCTGCTCTGTTCAGTGTGTCAGCTTGTCTGACAGCCAGCCGGCAAAATGAGGGCATGGAACTGCTCCGCAGCAGCCACAGCACGTGCATTCCTCATCCACCAACTGCCCAGACCGAGGCAACTAATGAAACAGAGGGAACTGGTGCTATTATGGAAAGGAGGACAAGGGAGAGAGCTCAAGATACTGTGTGTACAAAGGGAAGGAGACTAGCAGACTAGTCACACGGGGAGAATTTGGAAGTAATAAATGTGGAACAGGTCTGATGGTGGAGAACATCAAGACAGTATGGCTGTCAAGAGCAATGTAGGTCAATGGAAGAAACGGGGATTACTGATGTAGAGTCCGTAAGGTATACAGGATACAGGCCTGTTGAAGCCTGGCAATTTTTGCTAAAACACCTGCTTTTAAGATTTCGTATTATCAATCACTTAGAATAGGCGATTCCAAAGAGAGAAACTAAACTGAAAAAATATTAGATTCAAAATTCTGAGGAGTACTTACACTGGACCAACTAGTTGTTATCTGGCAACTAGACTAATAAGGTAATCAAAGTAAACTTATACCATCATAGTTATTCAAATAAAAAATATCATTATAAGAAGTCCTTAGGTTTCAATCTTGGACAAAGCCCTTAATTCTGTACAACTCTCTGGCAGCATTCAAAGGCTACAGTATTCTATACATGATCTACTGTATCTGGCTAAGATACTCAAGCAGATTACATCATCTTGAAAGAGAGTATGGACTCTCGTAGATGAATCATTTTGCTTCCTAAAGGCCCCATTTTTAATTCATTATTAAATCTTCACAAGTATTAGTGATTTAATGACTATTTTACCTAAGCATAGCAAGGTAAAATTCTAGAATAGTGAAGATACAAAGGTAAGGAAAGCTGAAAGAAACAGACTGTCTACATGAGAAAGTATACTGGCACAGCTAAACTAGTGTAAATTTACCCTGATTGCTAAGTTGGTCCAATTCTCTCATCTTTCTTTGGAAGTTCCATAAAGTCCAGATATTTTGAGTAATTCAAGGGGTTAAGTTTCTGCCTTATCTAATTAGAGACAATATTTATAAATAGTAATTAATACTTATCATGGTACCTAAAGCTTGTTTGTTACAGTTTAATATATAATAAAGAAGTTTCTTTATAGTATAGAGTAAGAGCAAAACATCAATGCTTTATATCTTGTGCAACTTTATTAATTTTGTATCTTATGCAACTGCCTTTTATACATATTATACGTCTATTTTTTAACACATATATTTGTCCACCTCATCATTTCACCTCTTCAATCCCAGCAGAAGCTTGGGGAAAGCTGTTATACATTAAATATTGTAAAGACATACACACACACGTACACAAATACACGTTTTTTTAAATATCTGAAACAGAATTATGAAAGATTGCCTTGCCTTTGGCTATCATTAAGACTTTTATACAAAATACTCAACTGAGCTCTATAAAAGGCAGATTTTCTTTCCATAAGGCAAACTGTTATTTTGACTTAGTAAAGCAAAAATTGCATAGACAGTATCTTACCATCCAAAGTAGATTGCAATGGTCCTATTCTTCCCATTCTTCTGACTCTCCAGACATGTCTAGCGGATGGCACATACAGCTGTGTAACCTAATAAATTAACAGTATTTTACAGTTAAACATTATCTAATTACATACTACAATTTACTATTACATAGTAAATACATAAAACTGTCATGTCCAAGAGTGTGTCTGAATGCCTAAGTATCTTCATTTCTAATCCCTCCTCCTTTTACTTGTGCCTTAAAGCTGAGCTGCAAAATTAACAACAACGTAATATAAAGTCCATGTATCATTTAAAAATACCATGCAATGTTACATTAAATTCTGATATTTAACATACTAGAGAAGCTGAGTTTGAATTTTGAGATGTCAAATAAATTCTGTTTACTTTGTACTGAGAATCAGGTTAGCGTCACAGTTTAAAGACTACTACTACTTTCTCTAAGGTGTGTAGGCACTATTTCCTAAGAACTATAAAGAACTGTCACACAGAGAAATGGAAATCTTGAACACAAGGCAAGCAAATGTGCAATCATCAAAAAATAAACAGAAGAGTTCACTGCATTCACTGCATAACTATTCCATGCAAAACTTCCAGCTGTTAAGACATGTAATAGTGCAAGGTAGTCTATCTGAGTGTAACTAGCTTCTTAAGATCCAAGTTTCCAATGATTCAAAGGATGTTCTTGCACATTCATATTAGCATTTTCTTTCGCACGCACATACACGCTTTTTAAGCTCAAACAATGCCATTTTTTTCAAAAGCTCTTAGGAAAAGAAAAAAGTAATTTCTAGGTGAGATAAGTACAGAAAATGCTTCTGAATTTTCTTTTACTTTGGAAGATAATTTTGAGGGTTTTTCCCCCCACTATAGAGCAATTATTTTATTTAGCATTTTTATTACGAGAACTACTTAAAATAACTAGAAAATAAAATGCAACAAAATGCTACCAGATTTTCAGTTCTCCTCTAATATAAATGCAGATGACTTACACTGTCGCATTGTAGAGTGGGTTCTACTTTATGGAGTGGAAATGTGATTTAACATAAAGGTTTCTTAACAGATGCAAGACTTTTACATTAGAGAAAAGCTGCATTACTCCAGGTTTTAAACCACACTAAATCTGTGCAACGTCAACATCATTGATATTGTCAGGAATCAAACACCTTACCATTGAAACTTTGGCACCTGTAAGACTATGTAGAAAAAGGATATTACTCTTACCTTATCTGCTTTAATGTTTTCTTGTTCTGAGAGCCAGTGATTTGGTGGGCAGAAATTTCTCCTTGTATCCCTAGATTTCAACATTTTCACTAAGTTTGTGATGACCTAGGTGTCAGAAACACATACATTCAATATACATTTAGCACTGTGAATGAAACTGTATAATCCACAAGCAAAAACTTAAGAAAATCTTTCAGTAATGTATGAAATTGTTACTTATTTTTAACTTACAAAAACTTGCTCTTACACTTAAATACCTTAGAATGCGAGTAAGTAAGTGTGGTTCACTTGTAAGTCATCAAAAAAACCTGGCTTATTAAAGTCTCATTCCAAAACCTAAGAACTAGGACTACCTAGGACTAGGTAATCCTAGGACCCTGCACACCTAAAAAGTTGTATGCCAGTTCAGGGAAGCCTAAACAAATCATTACCAGCATTAAATTACTTGAAGAAAGTAACACCTAACCAGGTCATTTATACAATGGTCTTTTATACAGATTTTTTTTTTTTGCTTATATAGGTTTTCAGAAGTTAAACGTGTGAATAGATGTATGTTTTAGAAGAGAGAGCTATACAACTATTCTTTACTACCTCTCATTCCAAAACTGAGGTTCTGAACAATTTGGCCGATTTGTAGGTTTTCTTTGTCCACAAGAAGGAAGATTCTTCAATTTCTGTGCATCACTTTTCAAGGAAAATGCTCCACAGAAGAATGGAACTTTTGCTTGCCGTCTCAAGACAAAGGTCATTGTATCACTCCACACTAGGCAACTCTGAGGGATCAACTAATAAACAGTGGGTATTTCTGCCTATAGACAATAAACTTAACTAGCCAGCACAAGATCGTGTGATGTGCTTCTCAATGGCACTGTACAAAAGCCGACATCAGCTTCAGAAAGTAGAGAAGGAGAGGGCAGAAGCATTAAATCGGCAGCAAAAGATAAACAGCAAAAGTTACATCTCTGAAGTACATGAAAGATTAAGTACTTCTGGTTGCTGCATTAACAAACTAAAGCATTTCCAACTAAAGGTGCCTCAGAGAAATCTAAGTATCTGCTGATGATATCACCTGACCAAACACTGAGGTGATTATCCATGTGAAGAAACTAATGTTGATACTTTTAAGCGTAAAGGTCTACATCTGAAAAGACACTATAGGCTCCTTTTCTTGTCAATGAATATCTTGTTAGCATTTTCAAAGCTGGCAAGAGAAAAAAAAGTCATCTCATCCAGAAGTAGCTACTGATTTATCAAATGAACTGTACCCTCAAAGTTCTTGTCTCCATTAAAACAGATCCTAGTGTGATCAGCTCAGTTGTTTATACTGTACGGTAAACCCTACCATAAGACACTTAAAGGATCCAACATACCAGATGCAGAAAGTAAAATCACTCCTGAGAAGGACCTAGCCCAATCATGCCTGAAAGTAGATTACAAGATGACCATTTCCAGAAAAAGGATGGTTACTAAATATTCTTCCGGTGATCACCGTAAGAAGCACAAAAAGCCCCTACAGTCCTAAAAATATATGCGTGGGGTGGCTGGTTGTAACTTCCATTTAATATGCACATACATACTGTACATTATTGTAATGTTATTTACAAACTATAATGTGTTAGGTAAAAGCCCTTTAGTGTGTTAAGTTAGTAAGCCCTTTTCCAACAGAAGGTATAAGCATTTACCTGAAAACCACCTAGTAACAGTAGTTTAACAAATTTTTGCTTATCAACTGAACCATAGCGGGTGATGATGCATACACCCATACTTCACCCAACCACAAGCATTTTAGCTTAAACCACTATGTTTAATTCATTTTTTCTTCACAAGGAATTCAACTGATGAAAGATAATTCTGTCATTATTATAACCACGCAGTCAGAAAATAAGAAAATTGAATAGGTAACTAGTTTATGCACATCTTCATAACAAAATTGGGAGGCTGAGAAAAATGGTTATCATGGTCACTAGGGTGTCTTTGCAATTTTAGTATTTTTCTTGGCAGTTTCCTCCAATCCAGGGGGAAAAAAAAAAAAAAAGTAGAGATATCAAGCTAACAAATACTCCATCTCAAGCACAATTGTCATACTTGGTTGCATGCCTTCTCTCCAAAGCAAAACCAACTTAGCCCAACACTACATAAAACATAATTAAGTGGAATCAATAGAATATTAAATTACTAGCCTAAAAGACATTATCACTGCTACAATGAACAGCCATCTGTTTTGCAACTTGAAGTATAGCTCTTGAAAAATGAATAGAAAAAAAAACATACACAAAGCTTTTCTGAAGTAATCTTGCTAAAAGACAGTCTTAATGGGCAGGTGTCAAGAGTAACACAGAGTTTAATGGGCCTTCTAAAGGATTCTGTGTCTAGATACTATACAAAAGACCTTTTAAGATCCAGTTTGTAAAGTAACGTCTTGAATAAAGACAGAACAAAGAATAATGCTATTAAGGGAACTGTCTGATTACACAGGAATTTTCATCACCTTGCCCTTATAAAATTCACTGCAGGTTAGATGAGTCACTGAAGCTCTGTGGTCCCATTACCACTATACTTAAGGAAAAAAAAAAAGAAAGAAAAAAATCAGAAAAAATTAGCCATGTGAAGACCATGCTAATAAAACATTTTACAAGCAGTTAAAGAATCCTTAAAGGAAGCTGAATCAAATTAGGTGAGATTGGAGTTCCTTCTACATAATGAATGGGTACTGAGAACACCAGCAATCTAAATCCAGGACTCCTTTGTAAAATTTTTATAAGGATGTATTTTATTTAAAGGAAAGACCCACTTCAATAAATAATATTAAAGTGAGGATTTCTTTCCAATAAAGCGCCAAGTGAAAGTAATATTCAAAACTAAAATTCAGCAAAATTAACAACTTAATTTCATGGGATTAACTCAAGATAGTGAAATAATTCTTTCATTTGACAAAACCCATTTTCATGTACTCATAACTTAAGTCCTTCTGTGGAATCTGTAACAGTTGACTACACTATTCAATATTATACCAAACCAAAAAAAGGGGGATTCTGCTGAATAAAGACATTGTCACATAAATCTTAGCATTTCAAAGACCTCCAATCTGCTAGCAAATAAGCACATCATTGTCAGCAGTCTCACTGTTTTCAGATTTACTGTTACCTTGCAGAAGTAAAGCCTATATTTGCGTGTATATATATACAAGAATGTATTTCATTAGACACCAGTGGCATGGAAAATATGCAAAACAAGTGTGAGAAATTAAAAGAAAAAAGAAAAAAGAGACATTAAAAGCATAGATGATAGGGAAACAATGTGACTTTCTCTCTGAAGGCAGCTTGCAAAAGCTTTAGAAAAGATAAATCTCTCTTATTTGACAGTGTAAGAGAAAGAAAAGTATTTTCTACTTCAACACCTTATATTTATGATGAACTACTTCAGCTTTGTTTTAATGATTTGGAAGAAGATATTGCTGCCTGCTCACTGCCAAGAAACTATTTTGAAGCTGCCCTCAGGAAAGACTCAATGCTGCATACAGTGGTCTTCTTGATGAGATGAACTTTAGCTGTGTTGAATTTTTATCTGCAACAATGTTTCTGAAGGAGCGAACAAGGGAAGCTTTGTTATTAGCTACTTTTTTGGGTAGAACCAGAGCCTTCGAGATAGCCTCAAGATTTACATTTGTAATTCAGCTAATGGAAGACAACCCTGGCTCCTGAAAATAGTAAGAGTGCACCCAGTTTAGAAAGTTCCACTACGAGTTTAATTCCTGACTGCCAAAGTGGGACAGAGTAACTCAGGATTTTACAACTTTCTGAATGACAGCAAAATATGATCAAATTCACCTGAAATGTAAGCAGCTTATAAAAAGATTGATTTAATATGACAAACTAAAGAGAAGAAATAGAAGATGGCATGATATAAACTGCATACATAAAAATACCCCTTACATGCTGTCCTTAGAAAAATAGACATATTGGGGTTTTCACTTGTGACCTTTAAATCGAAAGTTTATTTGGCAATTTAAAGACAAGTAATTAAATTAAATTGTGCAAACATATATTAGATCAATCCATGCAAATTACAAATTCAGTGGTGCATTAGGACTGTATTCAATGCAATCAAAACATTATCAGTTACTCTCACTGCTATTAATGCTTATGCTCATAAGTGAAATGTGTTGTAAAATCAGGCAGAATAGGCTGGATAGAGGCTATCTTAGACTTGTAGAATGAATAAGCATTCCTTAATTAGCCCATCAGGTTAAGTGCAAGCCTTAATGGTCCTTTCCTAAAGTCTAGCATGACATCTTTCTCCAAACATGGCCAAGAAGAAAGTTCCATTAGCAATATTAATACAAGCTTAGTTGATCATTTTCATTCAATTAACTTCTTTCAATTAAATAGATAGCTTGACAAAAGCAGTGATAAAAGACCTGAAGGGACAGCTGATGACTCGAACTGAACATTAGTGTGCAAGAGGTCGCCAGTATTAAACAGACTGTAAATCTAGCATTCAATTTGGAAAATGCATTTCTTCTGCTCCCACTTCTTTAATGAGCAATTTTAGCTGACTAGATGTGTTTGCTGCAGAATTTTCATGACAAGTCAAGCACTCCTTTTTTTCGGCAACAGTTATATTAGGTTTTTTCCTGCCAATGTTTTCAGCTTCTCTTAACTCATGTCTTAGGTAGGATGCCACGGATAAAACTAGCAGAAATACATTGGTAGATATCCAGAAAGAACATACATTAAGTTTACAATTGCTAAGCCGGATTCACCATCCCATTAGTATTCCAGCAAACCCAAAAGGAGTTGTACCAACATAATTTAGTAGAACACCAACAAAACCAATGCAGCATGGTACCAATTTAGCGAAGCCTGTAATACAGAAGTACTTGAGTAATCATATGATTCAGTTAGAATTTCACACCTACATAAAGTTATAATGACATGCTTAAGTACCTTGCTGAATGGGAGACCAAGTTAAAACCTATCTTCTATACAGTAACTTTTTTATAAACAAGATAAGCAGGAAAATTAAGAATTGCCAGAAGCAAAAAAAATTGTTACAGTTCTCAGAATTACTCAGTTTAGCATATATGCCAAAAAGCAGCCTTCCCAAATCCATATTCCTTGTAACAACTGTGTTAAAAGTATAATTAGAGGGAAAAAAAAAAAATCATACCTTCAGCAGAAAACTGAAAATTTTATTTAAATATGTTCTGTCAATGAAAATTGACAAAATTTACCTTGAATAACTGAATCCACCTTTTTTGTTCCGTCTGTATACATTGCTGCATTTCTGTATTTTTTGTTACTCCAACACTCCTAAATGCTGCAATATATTCCTCACGAACCTCTGGCTTTGTTTCTGGGTAAGCCAATTTTATGATTCCTAAACATGCATCTCGAAGGCAGCGTGATAATATTACAAGCTCTTCCAGTGTAAAAGGCATCATTGATGATTGTCTTTGACCTACAACTACATAAAACACGTTTAAGTTTTTAAATGACTAACATGCATCTCGAAGGCAGCGTGATAATATTACAAGCTCTTCCAGTGTAAAAGGCATCATTGATGATTGTCTTTGACCTACAACTACATAAAACACGTTTAAGTTTCTTTAAATGACTTTCTTAATCATTTTGTTACTAAAAACCCACTTATTTCATTGGAACTTTAATACTCACACACAAAATTTAACGGTAGAGAAAAGAAACATCACCCAAAAAGAGAATGAGTATACGTTTATAAAGGCAATCAGGTCTTGTAATTGTTTGCAGTCACAATGATTTTAATTACAATATTCTCTTATTCTCTCCTGTGATTCCTGCTGTGTTAAATTTTTACATTAGACTACAGGCTCAGTCCAGAAGAACTTCACTCTCCTCACTAACTCATTAAAAATTATCATAATTAAGAACTTCCATATCAGACCTGTAAAGCTAGGGTTCCCAAGGTGCAGACCATCATTTTTCTTTTTTCTCCTAAATGCAATCACCATAAAAGAGCCAGCTGACAGCTGAGTGCTCAGGGGACTATCAGCAAGTCAGCCCAGAAGGGCCTTCCCCACAGATGTCAGCAAATCATTGCTCAGGGAACTCTGCAGCCTTACACAAAAACATTTTGCAAAGCACTGCTGTTTAGTATGCTTGAAACTCACCTTCTATTGGATCACCAAAGAATTCATTATCATGAATAGAAATAAGTGAATGACTAAACAAAGAACTAAAAAGGTAGAAGAGGGGGATAATTCGACTAGAGTCTTCTAAAGACATTGGAGAGCCTCTTGAAATCACCTGAAGGAGTGGTACCATAGACCTTAAAATATAAAATGCAAAATTAAAGAGTTGGTTAATTAAATACTCTAAAAAGTATTAACTTCAGCATTCTAGTAAAAATATTTAGTAGTAGTTCCTACAGCAAAATAAGGACAGCGCTCTCAGTTACATAACTACTATCCCTCATTCTTGCAAAATAAGGTTACTCTTCGTAAGTTCTTGTCACTATAGTATCTCAGTGTCTTGATGATATATAAACTTCGGCATTAACTATTACAGACTGCAGATACTTTCTGGTTTAGAACAGAGACACGAAGCAAAGCGAGTAACTTATCTGCATGTCAGCACAGAACAAATCTGGAGGTCCCATGCCATGGGAACATGCTTCTGCCACCATCAATGTCTGGACTACTCAAACTTGGCAGCAAACTTTTTAGCAGGGCCTGTTGCGACAGGACAAGGGGGAATGGCTTTAAAGTAAAGGGGGGAAGATTTAGACTAGATCTAAGGAAGAAATTTTTTATGCTGAGGGTGGTGAAGCACTGGAACAGGTTGCCCAGAGAGGTGGTGGATGCCCCATCTCTGGAAACATTCAAGGTCAGGTTGGACAGGGCTCTGAGCAACCTGATCTAGTTGAAGATGTCCCTGCGCATGGCAGGGGGGTTGGACTAGATGACCTTTAGAGGTCCCTTCCAACCCAAACCATTCTATGATTCTATGAGTCTAAAGTATGCAAGATAAAACTCACATACTTGGGATGAAGTACCTGGAGCTTCAGTGTTTGTTACACTGATACCAGTAAGCACTCCAAAAACTACAAAACATCCACCCTATTTTAAATAAAGATTTTATTTATTTACAACTGTCCAATTCCGAAGATTTTGCTCAGTTTTATGAAATCATAGGAGCTAAGTAACCATTACAGTCTTGTTTTCAATCGTCTTCCACGAGCGCTGTCATACCACCAGTTGTCTCATTCTCTTTTCACTAGATATGCTCTATTGTAACAAAGAGTCAGTTTCAGAAATGGTATAATACATACCCTGTAATCATTCGTGTAGTCATTGAAGATATCAAATACCAAAGGTGCCTCAGGAATCTGGCATTAAAGGCTAAACTATAAAGAAGCCTGCAAGAGGAAGTTCAAATAAATTGTCTTCCAAAATACTGTATTCACAAAACACAATGCTTCTATAAGAACTTTTCTGTCATGCATTTCTCAAACATTAACAATTCAAATTTATTTTTTCAAGATGGACGTTCTTATTTTAATCAAATCTGGTAAAAGCCCCAAAGCTGAAAAACAAGCATATAAATCCTTATAACCTAAAATACACAGTTTTCATTAACTCAACAACAAACCACACGATATAGACCCAAGTTTGCAGTATGCCACAGAATGAAACACACATTAAATAAAAATAACATACACTCTCAGTTCTTTATCTGGGATTTTTTTAAATTCTAATACAGAAAACCACACCAACTAGTTAACAGGTCACTTCTGTGGTTCTTCTGACATTAAGAAACATAGCAATTTTTGCGAAAAGTAGATTAAAATACCTTAAAGTTAATTTACGCTAGAAGCAACTATTGATTTAAAATTATGTAGCGATTTTACTGGTATATTCTGCATGGCAGATATAACAACATCAACAGAACAATGTCTGTCAGGACAGCTACCCTTATGCATACGATAATCCATCTGTAGACAGAAAACAGTTTATCCACCTGTAAAAATAAATGTGTATGTTCACAAGTCAGTTATATACAGGACCCACCTTAATCGTATTATTTCAGGCATGATTACAGCATGACGAACTTTTTGTACAAATGAGAAATAAAAAGCTTCCTTGAATTAAAAGGTCTCCCCCAGCCTATTTTTTCCCCCGCAGGAAGCAACATATGCGATAAACATAATTTGAAACAATTAATATCTTCCAGGAAACCAAACAGGATTTGACTGACTAAACTGTCATTTTTCAGATATTGAAGAACTATATTCAGTTAGCTATCCTAAATGCTACTTTCCTAGGTCTCCAAATTACTATTAGAATAAGTAAGGTCCACATCTCCTCTCAGAGGTCAATAGCCTCATAATATCAAAACTCCCTGTGACCATGCATGCAAGAGGTAGGAGGCTGGGAAATGGGAACAGGGAGGGTAGACTAGAAGTGCTGCTGCCTGAAAAAACAATATTTATTACGGACCACAGGGATAAATTAAAATTTGCCAGATGGCAAAATGAAAGGAAGTGCACATTTCATTAAGGAAAAAAGTAAAATATCAGTAAACACTTAAAAACATTTGAAAATGGTTTAAGCGGCAATTCATTTAAAGATAGTAAAACAAAAAACCCACAAGAAAACCTACATGCCTACTCACAAACAAATACTGCATAGTGCCACATGCCTCTGGGTCCTCACTTACTGGCTGCTGCAGCCCTGCAGGCTCTTTCTGCTGTGGATAGATACTCTCATGCACCCACACAGCTAGTCCCTTCTTCAGGCTCTCATTTCATATGCATTCACCAAGCCAGTCGCACAGACAAGGAACTGTGCGAGGATAAAGTAGCATTAGGAAGGGCAGAACTCTTCACCAAACAGAAAGGATCGAGTTTCACAGGTACGGGGAGCTTTGGAAATAGAACGGGGGCAGGCAGAAGAAGGGAAAATGAAGTACAAGCAGCCTCTGGTTTGAGCTGCATCTTTGCTGAAATATCACCCCTCTTTTTGAAAAAACTTTGAATTTTAAATTACATAGATCAGTACCTTTAAAAAGAGTTGGGAGCTTCATGTATTCCAGAGAAGTTGCATGTTGGTGATCATTACTAAGTTTGAGTCAAATTTGAAGCAACTGCAGCTAATGACAGCTTAAGATAAGTTTTATTCTAAAATTAAGTTCTATTTTAAATATGTGGAATTTTTGAAAAAATTCAACCTGAATTTGATACATGGGAATTTTACTTCCTTCTAAAGTCACATTATTTTGACATTTGAGTGGAAATTATGCATTATCATGTAAGGAAGGGCTTATTATATCCAGCTAATTTAGAATAAGGATTTGTATTTTAATGTTTAATTATCTGAATGATAGCTCAGATGTCTTGGTTTCCAAAATGAGAAATTTCCTCAGTGACCTTCAGTTTTCAGCCTCATATTTGAAATGAAAAGTAATTTGGCACAGCGCCATTAGGTCTCATAGGGCTTCCAAGTAAAAACTTGTTAATTTTACAATCATCCCTGGAAATTATGTAATAGTTTTAGCAGCAATGAAAAAATATTATGGACACTGAACCTATCATAATGTAATTCATTTTACATTGCTACATTCTAGCAATATTCAGCAAATAATGAAGGGAAAAAAAGGACAAACCTTAAGAGCTTATAATAACAACCTTTGTCTAAGTTTTAGCCATTTTTATTCCATAACCGTGATTCAGGCAGTCAATTGTAGCAACTGCTATATGTCATGGCCCGATTCCAGAAATGCTGAATGGATTCAACTTTCACATTTCCCTTCCCTGAAAATCTGGTTAAATACAAAAATGCAAATTTGGTAGAAGATGTTACCATACAGCCTATTTTGTCAATATGAAATACCTATGAAATATGAAGCAGGTGAATTTATCAATTCTAAAGTTACCATACTGTTACCAGAAAATAAACATGAAACTGCAAACTAAACACAGAAGGGTGAATTAGGACTTCTGTTACAAAAATTTTACATCACTAGATTCACCTGAAATACAATCCATTGCGAAAGGAATGACAGCAGAAACAACCTACTACCCTCCAACTCCAACTACAGAAATTGGCTTTCAAAGTAGAAGATGACAATTGTAACAAAAAAAACCCACAATGCAAGGATGGCCTTGGAAAGTCGTATCTCTGCAAAAGTTCAAGAAATTGGCTATATGAAAAAGTTTCAAAATTGTTGGCTTCACACTGAAAAAAAGAAAACCATGAAAAAGCCTAAAAAAAATTAAATTAAAAAATTAAAAAGTAAAAAATAAAAACTCTGATAATTAAAATAGGTCAAAATCTACCTCATTTGGCCTTTTTCTTTGGCAGAGAAAAGATGTGCATCTGCTAAAAAACAACATTCCCAGATACAACTACATTAAAATGACACAGGCACAAGATGATAATTCCTGATAAACTGCAGAACATTACAGGGCTAGCTTATGTACCCTGAAGACGAAGCATTATCAATCCACAAAGTTCAGAGATCAGTTAATGTAAAGCTTGAGTGTCCATACAATCTTGATCACTTTTTCTTTTAAAGAAAAAAAAACCCACACACAAAAACACTAGAAATCAAAAAGATTAGACATTATTTCTTTTTATGTAAATTTTTATAATCTAACTCAGGGGTTTTGTTTTCAATATTTGTGCTATTCTAAAAACAAACCAAGTGGCTGAAGTTTAAACCCTGGGTTTTTACCCCTCCCATCCAGTGGTTCTGCATTTTCTTGAAAATTGCACTGCATACCACCAACTTCTTTATTATGAGATCATTATACATGGTTTTATATAATGGATTAATTAATAGATTTTCTGTGAAGTTCAATATTCAGATTTAGCACTGTAGTTTGGAAAAAGAACCATTTTTCAACTACCAGAAAGGATAAGCTCCTTTCAAGTAGAAAAACACACACTGTCTCAGCCACAGGCTATGATGGAGTTAAATACATTCCAGTGATTTCTGTTAAGTATCTATTTTAATCATACCAAATTAAATTATCTGCTCCCAAAAGTAAGTACATAACGATCATTTATTTAGAACCTTGTTTCTCTCCATAGGTATCTAATTGTCCACAAAGGCCACATGATTTATGTGTACTTGCCAGAATGGTATTTTGGGCACCTCTGGTTTAAAAAAAAGTGTCAAATTCCTCCTGTGCAATGGGACAGATTAAGTGACCCATTAAGCTTAATTTAGCTGAGGCACCACTACAAGTTAATTAGTTAAAGGCAAGATTTTCAGTCTAGGTCATAAATTGGGCCCAGTTTCCCACTGAGACCATTTAAGTTAATGAAGAGAATACACTAGAATGAGAGGAGCTCATACAGTCTGCGAAAGGTCACTGCTGCTGGGGCAACGGATTTTGACACTTCGGAACTGCAAGGTGTCACAGGTACCAGACAGCATGCAAAGCCATCGTTAAATGAAGTATACCGCTCTTTAGGCTGCTTTATGCTTCTGCCTCTCTCCGTATTGGACCAAGAATGCAAAGCAAAGCTTAAAAACAAAAAATATGTAAAAACTTCATATACAATGTTTCTGGTTTTAAGGAAAACACAACAGTGTAAGAACATTCCCTAAAGAATTACTCAAGAATCATGCAAAGCCTAAGTATCTTCAGCACACGTATGAAGACAGGCTGTTCATATTACACCAGAATGTCAGTTTTCCAAACAATTTTCAACCACAGGTTAAGATTAGCAATGTTATGTTAATTAAATAGTAGTAATGTATGGTCGCTATGAAACTGTTAAACCAAGATTAGCAACCACCCTGGGGCACTGATCAGATGGCTGATAGCGACTGAAGTCCCAGTACTAGCACAGTTTCCACCGCTGTTTAATATTAAGCCATAGTGATGACCTGAAATCTATGGTATTAAATTATGCCCCTAAATATTTTGCGGAAACAGAATTTACTAGTTATCTAAAGTTTTGATGAAAAAAATTCTTGCAAATCTCTTTATAATGAGAACTATGCTCCAAGACTCATGTTTTCTTTTTTTAATAACTGTATTCAATAATATATAAACTTCACAGTGAAAAGATGAAAGCCCTTCCCCTCTGAAAATAAGTACAATACCCAATGACTTCATTACAATCAGGATTTTATTCTACACCTCCCATCTGGCTTACTGAACACTAGCTACAGCTATGTTATTCCAGTCTTGTGGCCTTTTTCTTTAATTGGGCTTGATTGCATCTTTCCAGAACTTACTCAGAATTTATCAGAATTCCTAACGACTAACCCAAAGCAATGTGCTTTTCCAGTAATCCACCTTTGGATCCCACCACTCTCTGTAGAGAATCAGAAAGGAACTTTAGAGGCTTGCTCCTTCTGTACTTTTGGGTATCTTGTTCTGTTCTCTCCTGGTCTCTGTTGCAAAACCAAAGAAACTACTGGGCTAATGCAGCAACACCAATGTTCCTAACACCATACAATATCATCATTAGTCAAATCAAAGATGTAGTGAGAAGTCACAAGAAGAAAAAGCATTCAGCTTTAATGGAGTGACGTAAGTCTATACTATGAGTTTCTTATCTTTTTTTCAAGAAGGAAAAAAGCCACAGAACTATTAAAACAATACAGGGATATTTGTTGTTTCCTCCCTTCCAAAGCCTGTGTTAACCTTAGTCTAATTTTCTTTACAGTTATTGGAAAGTTATTTTCAGTTATTACTCTCTTTATTTAGCATCCCACTTTGTAGATTTGCAGCCTTTATGTTTTTAATTATCATTATTTTCTATTACAGTTGTAAATGCTGTTATTGACCCAGTATGTTTCCAAACAGAAAATAAAAGAGCATTTTTGAGCTCTTAGAATATATTAAAAATAATTTTAAATAAATTATTTCTGCTTAACTATTTCTACATGGTTTAATTAAATAGATACACTTTACTCTGAATATTAAGTCATTTAAAAGTTAAGTTTCAAAACAAGTGAAGCATCTTTCAAAAGACTATCATTAAGTTTGACAAAATCATTTGGGCAATAAAAAAAATCATCAAAAAAAAAGTCTTTTAATTGTCTTTTGAAATGGCACAATGTTTACCACCTTTAAAACAAGCATCATGTCCTTTGCTAATGAGAAAAAGTCTTTTAATTGTCTTTTGAAATGGCACAATGTTTACCACCTTTAAAACAAGCATCAAATGTCCTTTGAAAAACACTCAAAAATAATTTTAAAATAGCTGCTTGGTAACTTAGGCCAGGTCTAAAATGCACTGAGAGCAGGGCAAAAGATTGACAGCTCCTGACACGATGATGCCTGGCAAACCCAACATTTATGATTGTGTAAGTCAGAACTAGTAATTAAATGTCTACTTTAATCTACCAAATACCTGTATGAATTAACTTCATTGTGACCATGAAAGCAATTCCATTGGTATTACTGACATAAATCTTAATATCTCTACTACTTATTTCTCAAATTGGTACATTCAACTATTTTGGATCTATTCAAAAGTTAAAATTTGTAAATTGCTTTCTGTTATAAGCTGTTGAGTAGAGCTTTCATAACTCCTGAATTTATCCAATGTGTAACTAGCTTGTTATCACAAATAATTGCAAAGACCCAATATGGCTTCTCAGAGGAAACAGATGCCATACTCATACAATTAAAGTTCTGTGTGACTTCTTTATTCATTAAACACCCTTTTCCACACAGTTCACCAGCAAACCTCAAGTCAAAGCAGTGATGCATTTAAACTCAGTAATTACTATCCAAGGCAATGGACTACTTGCAACAATAAAGCGGGCATACTAATTCAACTGCTGCTATGATCTTCAGGTCTCACATCCTGCTCTAATGCAATTAGTCTACAAAGAACTAATTACCCTAATCGAGCAACCACAGTTTCACTGACATCTTACTTCCTCTAACAGCTATAAACACCATTGGGCTAAGATAGCACCTAATTAGTTTTCTGTATCACTGTTTACAATGCAGTTTGAATTGATTATGTTTACAACATTCCCTAAATACTTACTTTACTACCAGCAACTACATACTTATTCAAAACTACTTGCACCAGAACAGTGTTAATACTTAGGGGTCTTAGTCTGATAATAAAAAGGTCAAAAATCTTCTTCCATTGTTACTGACATTTGTGGTTTGCAGTCTTTGTAAAAGAATGCTGTACAAACGAACAAGTCTTTTATCTCCATCTCAGGTGTCAAAGCCCTTCCCAAACAACAACAGTGATTTTCAATAGTTAGGAATCGTTTTAATTTGTAGCAAGAGAGATTTTGGCTATTTATCAAAGAGGGTAGAGAACAAGCTGATTTCAGTGCTCAGCTAGCTAGAGAGACTGTGGAATCCATATCATGGAAAGTTTTAAAAACAAGCTAGACAAACTTCTGCTAGAATGACACTTAACACTGCCTCTGAGTAAGGGGATGGATAAACTCCTTTCAAGAATCTTTGCAATCCCTATTTGTGTGTGATTTTCTGATCACAAACACGACCTGTTCCATAGTCCTCACTGTGGTGATAGAATACTAACTTATTTGCAACTCACTAAACAAACCAAGAGCTTACACTTTTGGATTCAGTGGTTACTCCAGAGAGTATAATGAACAAGAAGAAAAATAAGAAACACAAAGAATCCACTCCTTGGTTTGCCTGGAATTATTATTTAAATTCTGAAATTCTTATTTATTTCAGCTGATCATAAAAGAAAACACAGAAAAAAACCCACAGGGTATTTAAAACAAGTCTATCTATTTATACTTGCCTGACTTTTGGCACCATCATTCGGTGTTGTACCATTAGCGTGTGGCAGATTGATGCCATCAGGGTAAAGACCTCTTCACTAGCTGAATCTCTCCAAACCATATTCAAGAGAGTGTTTGTCTGCTGCTTTGTATCCAATTTCTTTAGACACTCCTCAGTTATGTACTGAACTGATATTCTCCCATCACCCTACAAACATATCAAAGAAAAATTTGCTTTAAGTCTTCTTAATGATCAAGTATCCCCTTTTTTAAAAAAAAAATACTTCAGAATTTTACTAGAACATAAAGTTTTCTTGTACAACAATTAAAACGTAAGCACATATGTATATCCCAGTAGCATTCTTAAAGTATCAGACCCAAGAGCGAACTCAAATCCCTAGGTAGGCAACTGCTGGGCTGTGGTACCAATGTTTTCACTTAGACCAGTAGGAAAGACTACCTTTAATGTAAGCATGTTCTGCAACACTTGGCTACAATAAGGCAAGATCATTTACTGACATAAAACATGCAAATAGTCATCTCTTCCCCACTGACACCAGTCAGCATTGGACATGAAATCCAGAAATGGATGTCTACTGTAAGTTCCTTTACAAACAGTATTTTCACATTCATTATCTATGGGTTAACAAATAACAAAAACTTCAGGGCGGCTAATACACGTTTGGGTAGTACCAGAAGCGTACAAAGAGGAATGCTTTCTCTTGGCATAGAGCTAAGTGGAGCTAAACCTTTTCTTTTCCTTAACTTCCTCTCTTTATCTTGCCCCCAATGGAGCAAAACAGTCTGGCTTATTGAAGGATACAAGTTATCCAATTAAGAATTTTTAAGAAAGAGGGATTCCCCACCCACCCACTCCCCC